TTATCTCTTTTATAATGTTCTTCCAAACTGAAAAACGTTAATTTTCCAAACCTTAAAATGCTTGGCTTAAAGTTAAGCTGGGGGGAAGGGAACCCAGAAGCCTGATACGCCAGCAAAAGTGTGAAAATGGCTTACCAGGCGGGCTTTTGGCTTCTCTCTCCCTGTGCAAACTGGCAAAAGGGATATAATAAGGATGATTGTTTATATTCTCTGTAAATTTATAATTAATGAAGAAGGATTTGTGAGGTGGGTCTTAAGCTGTAGACAATCTGGTGTGGTTTGCATGTCTTTCTGTATGGTTCTGTCAAAGAATGGGTAGGAGTTATTAAGAAATTATTTTAGGCAGATAGAGAGGTAAAAGAGTCCTTGGGAAGTTTTCACTTTTTAAAGCATCTCCAGAAAAGTTTCTTGTAAAGCCCCAGCTCTTAGAGCCAGGCTGGCAACCTTTGATATGCAAATGCAGGCCATTAGAAACTGGGTCCACCCAAACATGGTGATTCCTGAGGCCTCCTTGCCCTTGCACCACATGTTCCTGGCAACGTGGCCACCCCCACATACTCCATGTGTGTAGAACATCATGGCACCTTGCATTTGCATATAAAAAGCTAGGGTGAGAGGGCCAGCTTTTTCATGGGCTACGTGAATGACATGCCTAGTCAAACCAAACCCCTGAGCCCTATGCAAATTGGACACCTCTTCCGGCCTCTGCATATATACCTGGCTGCTGTCCACCACACTTGGGGTTCCCTCTCAGCTTTGGAGCCTCCCTCCCTCTGTCTCTGCCAAAGGAGCTTCTTCCATCTACCTTCTCCCTTCTTTCTGGCCTATTAAACTCTCCATTCCTTAAAACAAAAAACAACCAAACAAAGACAAGAGATGTCTTCTTTAACCTCTATTATTCAGTATTATTTTGCTGTTGCTAACTATTGCAATACATTAATATATAGAAATGAGTTAGGGCCGGGTGCAGTGGCTCATGCCTATAATCCCAGCACTTTGGGAGGCTGAGGCAGGCAGATCACCTGAGGTCAGAGTTCAAGACCAGCCGGGTCAACATGGTGAAACCCTGTCTCTACTGAAAACATGAAACTTAGCTGGGCATGGTGGTGCATGCCTGTAATCCCAGCTACTCAGGAGGCTGAGACAGGAGAATCGCTTGAACTGGGGAGGTGGAGGTTGCAGTGAGCCAAGATTGCGTCATTGCACTCCAGCCTGGGCAACAAGAGTGAAACTCAAATAAATAAATAAATAAATAAGTTAGGAACACTAGAAGAAAAGATATTATTATTTTTAAACAATATCTTTGTATATTCAGAAAACCCAAGAGATTTGCCTTAAAAGTAGATAAATGGAATAGGAGTATTTAATATTATGATATAAATATAAATTAAATATACATAAATCAATAGATAATGTTATACTAGCAATAACCAGGGAAATTGAAATGGAAAAAAGTAGAGTATTACAAATTACAGGAATTAATTGTATCAAGAAATGTGTAAGATTTATGGTAAGAAAACCATAAAGTGATAATTCATACTTAAAACTAGACCTAATTTTTAAAAAGTAAATAAACCTCTGGGACGGGAAGTATTAAAACATTTTGATCATTATTCCCAAAGCCAAACAATATTTACAAAAAATTTTCATCTCAATCCACATTTCTATATTTTGCTATTTTTCAGGAGAGGGTATTAGGAAATTATTTTGGAGCTCTTAAAGCTAACTGCACAAATATTGTCAAGTAAAACATGATAGACTGTAATAGGGAGATAAGATTCTTTGCCTATTACTAAAATTTAAAACAATGCAATTATAAATGAACATGACACTACCGAGAAAAATTACACATCAATCAGTTGAACAGAATAGAGTCCATGAACAGATAAAGCTAATAATAGAAAACCGCTGTATGAGAAAGGTGACATTATATATTAGAAGAAAGGGGTGAAACTAGTCAACAAGCAGTTTTAGATTCAATGAGCCATTCATTAGCCACATAAGGATACAGAATTTATTTTTTTTTCTGGTGACTCAAAGCCAACAAGAATGAAGTAGCCAGGTGCAGTGGCTCACGCCTGTAATACCGGCACTTTGGGAGGCTGAAGCAGGCAGGTCACCTGAGCTCAGGAATTTGAAACCAGCCTGGGCAACATAGCGAAACCCCATGTCTACAAAAACTAGCAAAAATTAGCAGGGCATGATGTCCTGCGCCTATAATCCCAGCTCTCGGGAGGCTTAGGCCCAAGAGTCGCTTCAGCCTGGGAGATGGAGGTTTCACTGAGCCAAGATCGCACCATTGCACTCCAGCCTGGGTGACAGAGCAAGATCTTGTCTCAAAAAATAAAATGAAATAAGAATTAAATTTTAAAAGGAATGAAGAAGGGTGCAGACATGGCCTGGCTTCCTTCTTGCCTAAGTGCTACTGACTTAGATGCCCCAGAATGTCTTTTAATAATGGGGTTCATCTCTCAAGCCATGATTCTGGGTATTTCCTGGGTTGGCTCGAGGCAGGTAGAGGCCTAAACACTGGTGAGGGAAAGCAGGTTTCCTGGGTCAAGGTTGGGGTTGTGTCCCCGAGGAGAGAGGAGTCCAGCCGACCCTCCTTGGCTTGAGCCTGGCCTCTTGGGGTGGCTGAGTCAGGCCCAGGGGTGAGAAAGTGGAGGGAGATCATGGTAGGGCAGGGGGCTCTCAGAGGCCGGGAAGAGGGGAGGGTGGCCAGGGCCAGTCCAGGGGTCTTGTCCCTGCCCCTTCTCCAGGTGTCAAAAAAGACTTTGCACACAGTGTTGTCCAATCCCTCCACCAGCCCCAGGGAGTCCCCCACCCTATCCCATCCACCGTCTGAGGACAGGTCTGTCTTCAGCACAGGAACCCAGCTCTGTCTTGGTGGAACTGATCCTCAGGGGTTGGAACTCTATCCATGGTTCGAGAAGGTTCTGTTGGACCCAGCATGGTGGTTCATGACTGTAATCCCAGCAATTTGGGAGGCTGAGGCAGGCGTATCACCTGAGGTCAGGAGTTCAAGACCAGCCTGGCCAACATGGTGAAACCCTGTCTCTACTAAAAATACAAAAATTAACCAGGCATGGTCGTGGGCACCTGTAATCCCAGCTACTTGGGAGGCAGAGACAGGAGAATTGCTTGACAGTGGGAGGTGGAAGTTGCGGTGAGCTGAGATCTTGCCATTGCACTTCAGCCTGGGGAACAAGAGTGAAACTCTGCCTCAAAAAAAAAAAAAGTACTGTTTTTCTGGCCAGTAAGTGCAAGATTCTGGCCTCAGACAGACATTTGTTTATTTCTCTCATCCCACTTTCTAATCCAAACAAGACACGGTCCAAGGATCCACTGCTGGTCCTGGATACAGGCTGGACCAGAACCCAGGTCTCCTGAACTCCAGTCCATGGGCCTCCAACTGCCCCGCTCCTGCCTCTGCCAGCCCAGCCCCTCTGAGAAGGAGAGACAGGCCTTAGTCACAGACACCCCTGGATGAGACTCAAATCTGACATTCCGAGGGCTCCTGGGTGGGGCTGGTAGAGCTCTACTCCTGGAATGTGAAACCCAGGGGCCTGGACCTTTCCTGCTCTCAAAGGCTCTCCCGTCACTTGCTCTTTTGTAAATAGAGAATAAATAGAATGACTCTTCCACCTGGCACCTTTGGGGTCTTAGTTTCATCTTGCCTCAAGGAGCCCCTCCCAGAGGATAGCCAGGAATGTGGTGCCATACAGGCGTGCAGGTGTGCGGGGGGAGAGGAGGGGTGGAAGCTCTCCAGTCTGGAAACCTCTCTTTGCTGGCTGACAAAGAGGCTGTATAATTTATTTGCTCCAAGTATGTACAATTATCAGATTTACAGGGGCTGATCTCTCCCTGCAAAGGGTCTTTGGTGACCAAAGACTGGATGGTATCAACCTGAAAGAATCAAAACCATCAGAATCTAATTTAAAGAGAGTTTATTACAGCACAGATTTTGAGGATAGCACGCCCGGAAACAACAACTCCAAAGACTGGAGCCAGCACCCAGAATGTGGAACACATGGTTTCATTTCTGTAGGTAGAGAGGCCTGGCAAGGTGGCTCACATCTGTAATCCCAGGACTTTGGGAGGATGAGGAGGACCTCTTGAGCCCAAGAGTTCAAGACCAGCCTGAACAAGATGGTAAAACCCTGTCTCCATAAAAAATACAAAAGTTTGCCTGGTAGTGCATGCCTGTGGTCCCAGCAACTTGGGAGGCTGAGCTGGGGGGAGGGGATCTCTTGAGTTTGGGAATTTGAGGCTGCAGTGAGCCGTGATGGAGCCACTGTACTCCAGTGTGGGCTGACACTGAAGAGAGACACTGAGCAGGACAGAGATGGGAGAGAGACTGGACATGGGCAGAAAGAACAGGAGAGTCAGAAGGAGAGGAACCAAAGGACCAAGGGACCAGCCAGGAGCCCACCTCCCCTGACAATTGTGGAGGACCAAGTTGGGGATTCTCAGGATCCACTATGCCAGGCAGGAGTGAGCAGCTCCGCCACACAAGGCTGGAGACCCTGCCCTCGATGCTCAGTTGCCACTGCCTCGTGACAGCAATGCTGAAAGAGTGAGGTTCTGAGAGGGAAATTATTGGAAATAGATGCTCGGTGCCGCAAAGAAAAATCAGCACTGAGAGAATATTTCAGCAACAAATTTTTACTTCCTGCAGAAGGGTACCCTTGCTATCCATCGTGCCACGAGAGTACAATGAATAGAGGAAAACACACAAATTTATCCCTTACTCATTTGGGTCATCCTTACTGCTGTGTCTGATCTCTGTTGGCTGGAGCCAGACCTCACAATCTAAACTAAAACCCAGTTGGCTAACAACTTAACACTTTTCTAAACAGGTCAAAGCAATGGAGAGCTGGGACATGCCTGTGAGCACGTCCAGCACAGATATCTTGGTTAAAGTACAAGAACATAGAATGTACTACGTGCCTGTAAGCATGGCATGTCTAACAGCTGCATAGGATAGGGTTTAACAAAGAGTTATTAGCACACTTATAATTTGTTCTTTAACAGGAAAGGAAACTTTAAAGGAACTCTTCTACTTCCCACAGAAATCAAAACAGATGGAGGAAGAGAAACTAGTGGAGGAAAAAAGAAAGGTGGAGTGAGTAGAGCAGGGAGAACGGGGACTCCACCCAGGGTAGAACAGGCATGCAGCCCATCTGCTTCCCTGCACAAACAATCCCATGCAGGGGGCTGAGGCAATTGCTTGAACCCAGGAGGCGGAGGTTGCTGTGAGCCAAGATAGTGCCACTGCACTCCAGCCTGGGTGACAGAGCGAAACTCTGTCACAAAAAAAAAAAACAAAAAACAAAACTAGACCTAATTAAAAAAAAAAGTAAATAAACCTCTGGGACAGGAAGTATTAAAACATCTCATCTCACCTGCGACAAAGCCTGTCATCCGAAGTCAGGGCTGAGGGGCACTTCTGGCCTTTCATCTTCACCATGAGGGATGCCTCGGAGATGAGGGACCAGGGACAGCACTGCTCGAAGCAGACCCTCAAGGTGCAGTTTCCATACCTTTGGGTCCTGCCCAAGGGCACGACGGCATCGTCATAGCAACAGTGCTGCAGGGGGTCGTAGAACTTGTCCCCACATCTCAGGTGCGGCTGGCACAGCATCAGGTAAGGACTCATGGGGGCCACTGGAGGAGACAGAGCTGGTGAGGTCCAGATGGGGGTGGCAGGTGGGTCCCAACCTGGGTTCCCCTGGGAGCCACACTCCTCCCCCAGCTTCCCAATCCCTCCTGGGCTCACTTGGGGCTCTGGGTGAGCAGAGGAGCCTGAGGGTGCAGAGAGAGGCCAAGACAGCTGTGGGAGAGGGAAAGGGAGGAGGGGTGATCGGGAAGCCACAGACAATCCTTGGAAGCCCAGCCTGGGGAAGGGTGGCTCCGAGGGAGTCTCTGCCCTGAGTGAGGCTCTGGGAAGGGCTAGAAGCCGACCTTGCCCTGCCCTCCTGAAGAGACACACTGGGCCCTGGGGCAAGAGGGGTGCCATACAGGATATGTGCTGTGGTGGATTTAATGTCAGGTCCTTTGAGTGCCAGGAGAGGACAAATGCCCTCTCCACCCTCAGTCTCTCTGTGGTCAAGGGGTGCAGGCAGGACTCTTGGAAGAAATGGCCTTAGGGTTCAGGGCATTGTTGTTGTTTCCTGGTTTTGGAGGATTTCAGAGCTGGAGGCTCAGCTGGGGTCAGGCAGGGAAGAGGCTGCGCTGAGACTTGTGCTGTGCTATGGGGGTGACCGGCAGCAACATTTAGGAAAAGATCAGGCTGGAACCAGTGCTAGGCAAGACTTTGGGCAGTAGTCTGGGGACAGAAACAGGGCTGTGGATGGGGCTGACCCAGGGGCTGTGGGTGGGGCTGACCTGGGGGCTGTGGATGGGGCTGACCCACGAGCTGTGGATAGAGAATTGCTGTGATGGAGCCATGTCTGGGGAGAAGGCCGGGCACAGGAACAGAAGAAGAGGTGAGGTGTAGTTTGGGGTCAGGAGTGAGCCCCTGTGGTGGCTGAGATGGGAGATGGGTTCAGGTGGAAATGAGGTCCTGTCCTCACTCAGGATGTGGCCTTGGGAGCCATGGCTCCGGGTGGCTGCAGTGGAGTGAGCAGGTGATCAGCAGATCTCAGCAGCTCCTTGGCTCCTATATTCCTAGAGGAGCTCGTGATGTCGTGGGATGCCCTGCCTTCCTGCAGAGACATGCTGGGCCCTGGGGCGAGAGATGTGCCAGACAGGTTATGTGTCATAGTGGATTTGATGCCATGTCCATTGAGAGCCAGGAGAGGACTGATGCTCCCTGCACCCCCTGTCTCTCTCTTCTCCAGAATGGAGTCTTCTTTGGCAAACAGGAAATTGCAGGATGGTCCAGGGGTCGTCCTCACCCTCCCACACCCACACATCCACAGTCTTACCTCCCACCCTGTGAGTCTAGAGCTGAGACATGGACCGAGGGTTACTCTACGACCTGGT